CCCCAAAACCCCAAAACCCCAAAACCCCACGATTCAAAATATCTTTGTAAGAGCAAATATTTAAAATTAATAAAAAGAAAATAAATTTACTCCTAATTATTTTTAATTAATCATCAATGGAAGAGGAAGATCTTTTAACAACTGTTAGAAATAGTCAGAGTTATATTAATATTAGTGAATATTACCCCAAGAGTAAAATGATGCGAGTAAAGTGGAAAGATCTAAAGATATCTGCTAATTTTGGAATTAAGGAGTATGATGATGCAACATATTTGGGTTAAATGGATATTTAGCAAGTAATATATCGACATGGAATGGGTGTTTTAATATACAAAACAAACAGAATATATGAAGGCTAATGGTCTTAAGATCTCAGACATGGCATTGGGTATGAATTGTACACTAATGGTAATATATATTATGGGGAATATGTACGAGGGAAAGCAGAAGGAAAAGGAACATACATTTGGAGTAATGGAGAAACCTATGAAGGTGAATGGCTTCATGGGAGAAAGCATGGGTATGGAGTGTGGAAATAAAAAAATGGAGATATATATGTTGGCTAGTGGAGAAATGGTGAAACAAGTGGTTACGGAGTCTATACTGCTAATTCAGGTCAAAAATATGAAGGAACTTGGAAGCATTCTTGTAAACATGGTAAGGGAACAGAAACCTTTCCTAATGGAGATGTTTATGTGGGAAATTATAAAGGTGGATATCCTTAAGGATAAGGTAAAATGATGCATAAAGATGGTTCGATATATGAAGGCAATTTCGATAGAGGTGTAAAACTAGGCAAGGGGAGATGGTACAAAACTGTTAAGAAAGATGACTACATTTAGAAAAAGAAAATTAAAATAGACTATGTATATATTGGAGATTTCTAAAATAACAAGAAGAATGGCTATGGAGTTTTCACTTGGGGATAAATAAGCACCTATGAGGGTTAATTTTCAAATGATCACAGGCATGGATTTGGGGTTTGTTAATGGTACGATGGCTCAAAATATGAGGGTGAGTGGAGACAAGGCGTGCAATATGGCAAAGGTAAACTAACTATGAAAGATGGCACTGTCAAGCAGGGTATATTCTAGAACAATACTCTTATGCATGAAATCAAGAGTGAAGAAGATACCCTTAAAGACAGCCTTCAAAAATCAATCAATAGATTCCTTACTCTTAGAAGCGATTTTTCAATAGCAAAAACTTTGAAGAGATCTGCTCTCTCTTCTCAGCGAAAAAAGAGAAGAGAGGACAAATTTAACATGAGTTCTAATAGAGATACGATACTTAACATCAAGAGTGTCTAGGAAAGTGATTACAAAAGAATGAAGAGTGAATAATCTTCGCCATAACTAAAGGAAAGATTTAGAAAAAATAGAAAGTCGTAGTCATTATTATCTAATCCTGATTCATCATATCGACTCAATTGAATCTTAATATATACCTATAGATTTTATTTAAATTTTATTTCATTAAAATTTTCTCTTATAAGGATATTTGGGGTTTTGGGGTTTTGGGGTTTGGGG